CAAGCTATGAAAGAGTGTCTATTGTATTCAAGCTATAAAAGAGTGATTTCCTAAAGGAAATCAACCCTGTGTATTCATTGGAAGGGCTGATGCTGAAGCTCCAATACTTTGGCCACCTGATACAAGGAGCCCACTCACTGGAAAAGACCTTGATGCTGAGAAAGACTGAAGGCAAAAGGAAACGGGGCTGGCAGAGGATGAGATGGTTAGATAGCATCACCAACTCAATGGGACATAAATTTGAGCGAACTCCAGGAGATAGGCGAGCCTGGTGCGCTGCCGTCCATGGGGTCACCAAGGGCTGGACATGACTTATCGACTGACAACAACATTGTAGCAACATAACAATTACGATGTGGTTTAAAGAGATGATCAAGAATGTAATTTTAAGCATTTTCCCACATAAACTTCATACTTCCAAAATAAATAACTAATATCCTCTTTCCAATTTCATTCTCACTAATTCTTAGTCATGGAGGCATGTAAAAGTTATTCTAATTTTTACAATGGGAACAAGAAGACAGTGCATTTGAAAGACAGACATAGGATCAAAACTCAATTATCTTTGATTCTTTTCTTTTTTCCTTCACTGTGCCAAGGATGAGTTCTTCATGCCTAAAAGACATTATAGTAGACTGGGAAATTAAAAAAGAATGTTGATTTTTAAGTTTCTTACTATCTTTATTCATACAAATAAAGTAGTCATGGGCAGCAAGCACATTTTCTTGGATGGTTTACAATCATTTATCTAGGTTCCAACTTTGGCATTTAAGATATTAAACATTTTATGAATTTAATTATTAAAATAATAGAGTAACTTAAACTTGTGTCCCCAACTTTACATTGGTCATAATACTTTTCATACTGTGCAGTATTTGAATTTGAAGATCAAAGTACACACACATATCCATCCCAGTGACCTCTTTTTAAAGTTACCTAGATATCCATTTTGGACAATTTGGGTTAATGGGCTGAAAACAACTACATTACACTACATTTACAAGCAAACAAGAAAACTTTTATTTGGGGTAGTAGCTAAGAAAGCAGCTTTTTACGGAGACTGGAAAAAAAGGAAGTAGGGGAAGTATGAGAGTAATTGCTATCCTTAGGAAATAACTTTAAAAGTTCAAAATTTTTTCATAGGATCTTATTAAGAAGGATGCAGTACCAGTATAACATTTAACAAATATGAAAGTAACTCTCAATAAGAACCTTGCCTAGTAATTTCTGACCTTGGATGAGTATCATTTCTAGTTGCACACGTAAACAAAACCTCTCATTTCTAAGAGAGTTATCACTTAACTGGGAGAATATGAAAAACAGATTAAAAAAAACACAAGCTGAGAATGCATAAGGCAGTAAAAGCCACCAGGTGAGAGGATAAATACTAAAATTAAATTAATATCTTCAGGCAAAACTACCAGCACTAATGTTTTCAAATGGGTGCTGTCCTTCAGTATAAGCTTTGACTGTATTTGAGCCCTGCTGTCACTTGCTCATGTCTCTGGATTTCTCTTTGGGCACCCCCTTTAATAGTCCATTTTTGAGCCACGTCAAAAAACCATCTCTTTCCTTCTGTCACACATGCTCACTTAGCTAATGTTCCATTCTGGGAGACTTGAGGCCATTTTTAAAAATCCAGTGGATCCTCTGCCGCAGCTGAGGATATTTAGGTGAATACACTGCCGGCTGTGGAGGACATTTCTAAAGAAAACTGCTACACGTGTTTTGAATAAGTCCTACAGCACCAGAGTGTCAGAGCTCCCAAGGTCATCATCTGGAAGGGCAACACTCATTTGTATGGATCAATTCTGGCAGAATGCAAAATACTGTCGGTAGCCTTCCTACAGTACTTTATGTATATAAAAGAAGTGCTCTGAGGAAGAGACAGTGCTAGGTGTGGATTATGGGGGTGCTATGTGGGAAGGGGAGGTCTGACTCTCCCATTAGAGTAACAGTTCCATGAAAACAAGGACTTTTCCTGTCTTATTCCATTATGAATTCTCAAGGGCCTGAAATAATGCTTGGCACATGGTAACACATTCAAGCATATTTGTTGATTGAATAAAAAAAGAAGTTAGACTTTGAACTAGGTGTTAAAGATGAGTACGATATGATGAGAGCAGGAACCAAGGCAAGACCATATGTATTTTAAACATATCACGTAGGACAGGGTGGGGTGCCTTAAAAGCCAGACTAATTCTTAGACAAAGGAGAGTGAAGTTTCTGGAGGACAAGTTGAAAAGTGGCATTTTTTAAACATTAACCTGGCTGAATTATGCAACTGAGTGGAGAAACAGAGAGCAGGAAGACCTGTCACTGCAGGGCAATAACAACTGGAAGATGCAAAGTCAAAATAAGAGGAAGGAAGGCATCTTAGCTCAGCCAGGGTGGTCAAACATATTATAGATCATCTTGAGACGAAAGGCAGCATAAGAAAGGAATCATGCTAAGTCAGTAACTAAGGTGAAAATGGGCACAGAGATTCTAATGAAGACAGAGGGTTTCTGCATAAATAATCCCCTAAATTGAGAACAGGGATATATAACTTACTGATCACTGGTAAACATTAGCCATCTTAGTACTTATTTTGTTTTTCTTAACAGAGTGTTCCTTCCATCTGGTGGCAGTTGCTTGAATTGCAGGCCAAACTCTTAAAAGAGGCAAACAAGCTTCTGGAACAGGATCAGAATGCTAGGCAGGTATGTAGGGCCAAATCTTCATGGGCTCCCCTTCAAGGGGGAGGTAAGAGAGAACAACCATCCATCCCCACGTGAGGCTGTTAAGTTACTGAGTTCAAGGCCCCGTAGACTCTATATAAATAACATAACCACACAGAAATGGTGGAAAAGGAAAAAAAAAAGTAACTTTGGAAACAGTATTTTGACTACATACTCTAAGGCTAAAGAGCTAAAGACAGAAGTGCGCACACACATATTTCTCAAGTTAGTCAGACTTGTTTCCCATAGGAATATATGAGTCAGCAATTCTGGAACTACTTTAAGTATAAACTTGAGGATTTAGCAAATAAATAAATAATGCAAATGAGAACCAGGTTTCTCACTGCTGAAGAAAGGAGTTACTAATATGGAAAAGGGAAAGGTTAGATAGAATGATCCGGTTAGATAGAATGATCCATGCAGTGTCAGCTTTAATCAAAGGTATCCATACAAACTGAGTTCAAGTATTGAGTTTATATGGATACCAATGACAATGAGCACAACGAGCACCAGATCTAGATTTCTAAATACCATTTGTAAAAAAAGGACCAGAGATCCTTGGAGAAAAGTCTGAGTCCAGGAATGGGGAAGGAAAAAATACAAGAGGAGCCTATAACATCATGTGGTACCAGAAAACAAACAAAACTTAAAAAAAGGCGATGGTCAGGGGCGGGTATACACAATGGGTATAAAGTTTTAGTAAGTTCTAGAGATCTGCTATGCTTAACAGGACTGTATTCTTTCACTTAATAATCTGTTAAGGAGATAGAGCTCTTGTTACATGTCATCACAATAAAATAAAAAGTTAATGATGGGCACATGGTGAAAGGACACAGGTGCCAAGCCCGTGACAATCTGAGTAACAATGAATGATGGTAATGAATTTCAACACAGATAAAGTATCTGGTTTAGTGGGAGAATGCTCTTTTCAAACAAAATTACATAAGCGAAACTGAGGTGTCCTGACACCCTCAAAACACCATCTGAATCAATGTTTCAAAGTTGACATTATCATGAATGGGGCATACTGACAACACATCCTCCTGATATGATGCCCTCAGCAGGTTGCAATATCATTTCTGTGGTAATTGTGCCCAAACTTGAATCTAATAACAGGCAAATACTAGACAAACCCAAATTGAGGGTCAGTCAACTAACTAAATGGCCAGCATTCTTCAAACATTTTAAGATTATAAAGACAAAAAAGACTGGAACTATCCCAGGTTAAAGAAGACTAAGGAGATCAGGATCCTTAAATGCAGGCCTGAGATTGAAACAGACCACAAAACAAATATCTGTGGGACCATTAGCAAAATTCCAATACGGTATATAGACTAGTTAATAATGTGCTAATTAATATCAATTTATTGATCTTGGTAACTATGCTGTGTGTTATCTAAGGTGCTAACAGTTGGCAAAGCTGAGCAGAGCGTATATGAGACTTCACTAATTTTGCAACTTTTAAAAAGTATGGAATTATCTCAAAATGAAAATTGAAAAAACTTCAAAAAAATAAACAGAACAGAATATAGGACAGGAGATCAAGTTCTGGTACACGGTTAAAACAGGTAAACCTAACGTATATGTTACATAAATTATATCTAAATTTATATATTATATACCATTTATATCACTATATATCATATAGTAATGTCAATAGGATAAGTCATTGTTTGGTGCAGGGGTGGAGAAGATTGGAAAAGCACAAGGGAACTTTCTGGGGTGGTACAGATGGTCAATATTTGATTCTGGTGGTAGTTACATGGACGTAAACATTTGTCAAAATCAAGCTATAAACATTTAAAGGGGACTGCTACTGCTACTGCTAAGTCACTTCAGTCGTGTCTGACTCTATGCGACCCCATAGACGGCAGCCCACCAGGCTCCCCCGTCCCTGGGATTCTCCAGGCAAGAATACTGGAGTGGGTTGCCATTGCCTTCTCCAATGCATGAAACTGAAAAATGAATGTGAAGTCGCTCAGTCATGTCTGACTCTTAGCGACCCCATGGACTGCAGCCTACCAGGCTCCTCCGTCCATGGGATTTTCCAGGCAAGAGTACTGGAGTCGGGTGCCATTGCCTTCTCCGTTTAATGGGTACACTGTACTGTATTTAAACTATACTTTAAGAAAGTTCACTTAAAATTTTTCATCTCAAATCTGTTTCATTAAGGGGAATTTCTGGTTTCTGATTCATTAAATAGACCACCTCTGTTTTACTGACCACAAATTTCAGGGCTAAGACACTAAAACAAATATGAAAAAAGAACAAAAATAAACCTACAACCAAGCCAAGTCAACGCTGCGTTAAACTCTCATAAATTACAAATATTTTATCACATACCTTATAGAAGAAATACTGTACCAGGTGTGCTATTCTCACATAATATAGATGTCCATGAGCCAACAGCAGTTTCTTTAAATGTTTAAACTTTGGGACAGAATAATCGCTATTCCTGGATGCTTGGCGACCTTCTTTGCCTTTAATACCTAAAAAAAGACAATCTCTATAGGGTGAGTATTTTTATAGAGTAAGTAACCACCTCATCTGTTACTTCCATGTTTTTCTTGATTACAAGTACAGTTCAATTGAATAATTTAGCTTTGTTTTCTTAAGAAAAAGTGCTTTTTATCAGTGAGATTTATCAATAAAAAGTAAAATTGTTTAATTGGCAATTACCTATTTATAACAAAACATAAAACAATTAATGAAATCATTATTTTAATCATGATAAGGCAAAAATTATACTGAGGAAAAAATTTAATCTCAAAAATATTGAAGATATTTTTGAAGGTACTTGGTAAGTGATTAATTATACACCGCACCAGACTAGGTGCTATATTAAAGCAACTCAGAGACCTGGGGTTTATGGTTTAAGAGATCAAAACTGAAGAGTTGTAATGAGATGGTTAAGTCCTCATACCGAATGATACTCTGAGCAGTGGTTAGCTAACACTTAGTCCTGTCCAAAATGTCCATAAAGCAGCTGGCTCACACCAAAGAGCCTCAAAATTTGCTCTTGTCCAAAATGCCCCTGAGCATACTTGGTCCACACCAAATAGTTCTGGACAGCACCAAATTTCAAGGGGGCTTCTCAGACGGCTCTGTGGTAAAGAATCCACTTGCCAATACAGGAGATGCGGGTTCGACCCCTGGAGGGAAGGGGAGATCCCCTGGAGGAGGGCATGGCAACCCACTCCAGTATTCTTGCCTGGAGAATCCCATGGACAGAGGAGCCTGGCAGGCTATGGTCCCTACGGTCACAAGAGTCAGACACGACTTAGAGACTAAACAACAGAATTTCAAGGACCTTTTGGCGTGGATAAAATGCACTGTGGACATTTTAGACAAGATCAAATGTCCTGCAAGGCTGAGTGGCAGCCCATGAGCTCAAGTGGCTTCAGGTCATTTCTGGTCAATAGCCCATGAGTCGAACTAGAATTCCACAGTAAACAGGGTTACTTCCAAATGGAAAGAATTTGGGAATCCAATCTGCATTACAATAATCCCCAAGATATTAATAATGCTATTATTTCTCCCCCTCCAAAAAATGCTGGGGTGTTAGGATTGCTGTCTCCCAGCAAGCTAACAGGGGGGAAAATGGTGAAGTCATAGAGAAGAGGCTGTTGCATGCCAACATGTAAATTCACCACTATAGCCCAAATGACCATGCATAAATATTGGCATGAGGAAAATCAGTCAGCCAGTTATCATTTCTGAGTTCCAAACAGTTAAGGACCTCAAAAGATACAGTGCAACAACATAAGCAGGCGATCTGGCCAGTGGTGAAAAATCAATACAATTTCCTGCATGCTGGCAAAAATGAGAGCTAAATGATCGATCACGCGGCCAGGAGGTTTCAGAAATTTGGTTTATTTGGCTAATAAAACAATATCCTCCAGCCTGGTATTGCTACCTTTCCACCAGGGGTAGGACTTATGCATGGGCATATTCCATGATCAGAAGAGAACCTTCATTTGATTAACAATGATCATTCCCAAATTCAAATTCAAGATGAGCAACCAAAACAATCTCTAGAATAATAAGACCACTCTACCTAAAAGCAATACTGATACCTTACAGCTGCCATCTCATTAGATGTTTCTTACCTATGCCCACATGGGATTCCAAGATCATGCTAACATCATTGGCACCATCACCTATCGACAGTGTGATTGGGCTGCCTTTTAAATTCTTCACCATTCTTACAATCTAAACGTTAAATACAAGAGAGGTATAGAAAAGGTCAAAGCAGAATGTGAGCTTGTACTCCATGGGGGTATTTGCCTCATTCACACTTGTAAATGGAGGCCTTGCAAACAGAAAGGTGGTCTGTGCATATAATAGTGTCGAATTCTCAGGGGAGAACAACACAGCTTTTCAAAACGTAACACCAGTGCCTACTTGTTTCTGGTTTTGCTAATGGATGAACTGTCTAATCTATGCCTTCTATCCACATTAGAGAGCAGCACGCATCCCCTCTTGTCACTGCTTCACATGTCCTTTCAGATCAGGTAGTGAAGGAGAGAAAGTGGAGACCAGAGAGCTGATATGGGGTAATATGCATGGGGCTACCAGGACAAAAGTGGGCAGTGAGAGGATAATGATTTTGGTCACCTCTTCCTCTCTCCTCCCTGCTGACACTCCAACCACCCCTGGGTGCACCCCAACCCTTATTTCCATCTAGCTGCCGACTAAACTTTACCAAATCTTTATGAGTGCTCAATATGATTTGATCTCTCATACAGGTAGCTGCATTTTAAAAGGGGGCACCCTAAAGGTGATGACCTTTGCAGAAAGATGTCTGAGATGTGTATAAAGCATCATCATTCCCTGAGTGTCTCTTAAAGATATGTTGATGGCACAGTGCAGCTCAACGCTGTGTTCACGGTAGGTACTGAATAAAAGAAACCTTCTCCTGGCAGAGTTACTGCGGGAAGAATATTGGGTAAGTGGCTGTCCTCCTACCAATTACTGCTTTATGTGTCAACCCTCAAAACCCCTTGGAATCTAGCAGCTTTTAAACAGCTTATGTAAATCAGTAGTTAAATAATGTCTTGCAAAAATTTTGTACTCTCAAAGGCTTTCACCAGGTAACATAAATAAAATCCATTCCCACATAACTGAAATGATTAAAAATAATTTATATGAGGCAAAACCACCCTGCAGTCTTTTCTTTAAACAAAATTCAGTCAGGTTTTAGTTATATTAAATTGCATACCAAAAAAACCTGACATCTAATCCATTTGACACAAAAATGATGTTACTAGGAAATGCCAGGTTTTCCCCAATCCTTCACCTCAACTTGGTTCTTTTTAAAAACTTAATGAGTGTCAGAAATAATCAGTGAGTCAAAGACAAAAGTAAACTTGTTTTTAATGGGCTACATTACTGGTTTAACTAATTGCACTATTATACTGTATGTAGTTATGACCTAAAAGAAGAAAAATGCAGTCAGGAAAGGTCTAGGGAAGGCAATAAAATTATCAAGGGTGACAGCTTCTGCATGCAAATATAGATTAAAAAGGTGAAAGCCAGTCATTGCAGAAAGATAAAAGGATATATTGCTACGGACCATAAAACCATGAAAGATCTAGATAGATAAACATCGAGTTTTTTTTCCAGAAGTTCCAGGTCACTGAGATTAAGAACTCTTCAATCTCTAGATAGCCTCACAAAAAAAGAAATCAATTTACCAGAAAGTATTTATTGATCTACTATAACTACATGCAACACAATGTGCAAAAGTGAAGTGCAAATACCCAAAAAGGATATGTGGCTTGGTCACACACCTCAGGAAGCATATAATGGGGAATGGATACAATAACATCAGAGAAGCAGATTAACAACAAAAGATAATAATACTCAATATGCAAGAGAATATATAACACTGTCATCTAAGTTGTCCACATAAGAAGGCTTATGATGTCAGAGAAGGGAGAGGACACTACAGGCCAGAGTGATGAAAAACGATTTTACAGAAGGAAGCATGGGTTGATTTAAACCATAAAGGACTGGTAAGATGTGCATGGATGGGGAAAAAGGTTTGGAGGAGTATTCCAGGGAAAGGGAAGAGCACAATCTAAGGCATACTGACAATTAAGTCCAATATATGCTCAGAAAACGGGTCTGATTTGACCAGACCAATTGAGTTTTCATAAAGGGGACATGGACAGGTAGATAATATAATATGGGGCCATATTATAAAAGTGGTAACGGGGTGCAGGAGAAAGGAGAAATGAGAAGAAAAGGTTAGACTGCAGGCTGAGAGAGAAGTTAGTCGACATGGAGTTCAATGAGCTGTTAAAGTCCTGGACCTGGAAGGTAATGGAGAGAGATGGAAAAGACAGCGTACTAGAAAATGGGCAGAATTTGGTGACTGAGAGCACACGGAAGGGTAAAGCATAGGGGACGTCAATATACAGATCTAGAAGTGCAGTGAGCTCAGTAACACTTGTAAAAAAAGACAATGAAAATGACAACTGGACTCTAGAGAAGGTTGAATTGAGGTGATAATGACACACCCAAGAAAATGTATTCAGTAAGCAACTGGAGAAATAAAGTAGAACTCCAAAGACTGGGACTGAAGAAGTGATTTGAAAAACACCTATGAGTGGGTGATAGTAGATGGTAGGTGATATTCTGGAAGAGGTGATGATAGTGAGAGAAATAAAAGAGACTAAGGACTGAACCCTGGGGGGGCTCCATGTTCTTGGTGGGAGAAGCAGCATCGTGTTAGGAATTCAGATACTGGCCTGGGCAGTGGAGCAGTCAGAACCCAGGTAACCAATCTGAGCAGCAGATAATGAATGTGGGGGGAAAATAAAAAGGAAAGAGGTATTGCCTTTGATTAGAGGGACAGATTTCTATGGATATTGTTCTGATAGGATCTGCTTCCCCAGCTGGGGCTAACAGAGGCTTTGAAGCTTGAAGAAAAGAAGAGCATATGATTGCAGTAGAAGCTGAAAGTGAGAAGGTAGGGAGAGATGATTGCCTCAATTAGGATGGGCTGGGTGTATGCACATGCCTGTGCAAGGTAGGGAGCGGAGTCTGTGAAGGAGAAGCCAAAGACACAGCGCCAGCCCCTGGGTCTAGAGCAAGCAACTGAGAGATGGGAAGAAGCAAGACCAATGCATATAAAAGAATACAGTGTACACAGAAGTGAAAAGTTGTGTACCTGACACTCTAAGGTTCCAGAGATGCAGTGAGTACAAGGAGGCAAGGTGAAGCAGACCAATGCAAGCTGGAGGAGCTGGAAAAGACAGCACATGGGGGTGGCCTCTGCATTGGGTTTTGTTAGGAACACAATTTTTGTTAGGTCAAGAGGAATTCAGAGACAACTCCAGATGAGGAAATTATATAAGGCAAGTCCTGGAAGTTGGCGTGAGAATGGCACATGGGAAGGAACACAAAAGGGGAACAACCAGTAGGAGTGGAGGATTCACGCTGGATGTGGGAGTGATGGTGGACTCAAAGTGTGTACAGACACATGGAAAGGGTCGACTGGGGTGGCCCTGACTGCCATACTGAGTTATCTCTCCTTCATCCTAAGGGACCAGGAAACTACTGAAAGGTTCTAAGGGAGAATATATGATGGGAGAAGTACAGTTTTAACAAGATTAATTTGGGAGTATGGGGAAAGAGATGGAAGGGGGAAGGGCGAAAGTAAGGGATTAGTAAGATTAAATCAAACATTCTGTGTATAAAGCCCTAAGGGCTTGCTTGCACTAGGATGGAGATAAAAGGTTTAAGAAGATGGCACCAAAATGAGAGCTATGACAAAAGGTAGGAAGAACAGGACATGGTGATTATATGGAATGAGTGAGAAGAAAAGGGTCAAAGGCAGTTTGGAGACTTGGGGAGCAAAAGAAAAATGTCACTGGTGACAGGAATAACAAAGAAAAAGGATAACCCAAACTGGCCTGAAGGAGAAAATTATAATCTCTGTCTTAGATACTAGAATTTAATGTTACAGAGGGAGTCCACATAGAGCCGTCTAGCAGGCAGCTAGAAATATGTGACTTAACAAAAAGGACAAGTCAGTCAGAGTCATAGAAAAGGATGTGCTTATCCAAAGATAGGATGTAAGTGAAAAGCAGATGGAAGACACCGCCCCAGGAAAACCTGATAATCAGGGAGAAGACCGAGGGTGAAACAAAAAAAACACCATGTTGCCAAGATGGAAAAAAAAGAGGACCGTGGACTATCACAGAAACCAAGGGAAGAGAGTTTAAACAGGGATATAATTGCAGTGTCAACTGCAGTGGAGAAAGGAGGAGAAAATGGAAGACAGTGCAATGGATTCAGCAAGGAGTTTGCTGCTCTCCTCCAAGAGATCCTACAGAGTAAGATGGGAAGAAAGTATGCATGGAGCTAATGGAACAGTGGAGCCAGGAGTAGTGGGATGAAGGCAACAGGCACCAAGTACTCATTAGGAAAGTTTGGAAGGTGAGCAACTGGACAGCCAGCTTGAGGGGACAGCAAGGTGAAGCAAAGGTTTAATTCAAATTGGTGGGAAGGCTCCTGAGTTGGACCACACAGAGGAAGAGGCCAGGAAAGATATAATAAGGTACTTGGGGCCCTTTGAAGAGAATTAAAAGTGATCATTTGTATCTATGTGTACAGAAGTAGCCAGAATAGAACATCAACTAATATCCAGTTACCTGGGCTTTCTGTAATGGGGCCATGCGACAGCAGAGCACTGCTGTGCACTTCATGCAGATCTGTAGGAAAATGCTTTTGTAATTGTTAGAACCGGAGTCTTGACTAGAGTTTAATATGAGAGACAGAGTGGAGCCATCAATGATTAATCCATATTCCTGATGTTCTGTCCACGCTCTGGAAAAGAAAAATAATGCAAATATATTTGAATCTACTATACATTGCTTTTTAGGAACTTGAAAAAACCACAAAAAGCAGACTTATCATCAATCTGGTTCCTGGACCTGTGAATTCTGAAGAAGCAACCATTTCTATTAATGGCATAATAGAGACTTTCTATCACATCTTTGAGGCTCAAGTTGCCCAGATAGATGTCACTAAGTTCTAAATATAAAAATAATGAAAATCTAGCAGCCAGTCTCCATATAAGAAACTCAAGATGAATTTTGGAAATAACAGTTCAATCAGTAAAACTCTGATGTGAAGACAAATCATTAGTCAATCTGAAAACTGAACGATGCAGGGAAAAGACAAAATGGCTTTGGGGTATACAAATCACAGAAGATATTCTTAACATTTTTGCCTGACTGACAAAGCCTATCAATAGATCTGGCTTCTCAAATATGACAGACTACCAAAAAGACAAAGTGTTCATTAAAGAATTCCATACAATGATTTATGTTCTTTAAATAAGTATAATTTTATACTAGATTAGTGATTTTTAACCATAGCTTTCCCATTTGAATCACTTGGGCAGCTTTTTAAAAAGCCCATGTCTTAGGTTTATCCACAGACATATTAAATCTGAGTATCTTGGACAGAGCTTGGCTAGACTGGGTTGGCCAAAAAGTTCACCTGGGTTTTTCCAGAATAGGTTCATTCATAACATGTAAAAACCCAATTGGACATTTTGGGCAACCCAATATATAGGTGTGTTTTAAAAGGCTCCATAGGTTATTTGCATGCATAGCCAGGACTGAGCAGTATTAGTTGCCAGGAACGACAAATATAATGGGTGCCAACTATTTAAGAAAACCATATGGAGGGAAAACTTACAACTGAAAAAATGCTACCAATTAACATTTCATTTTTTTGCAATTATGAAAAAACCAGCAATTAATCAATTTCTGTTCAGGCAATCTTGGGTGCCATTTGAGAATCGCTGCAGAAGTGTTAAACACAGCAGGGTCTCATCATTACAGATTCATTCGTCTAATGTTATGCTTCTGAAAGTTTACTGTTTAAAGAGCTGCTGTTTTACAGACTATGAGTAGTGAGACTCTAATATGCCTCATCATTCCTTCCTTCCATATTTTGCTTCATACTATTATGAGCATGTTTTTTTCACTAATTAAAGAGATATCAATCATGCATTCCTTTGCTCCCCTACTCACAGAGCTAACAATGTGCAGAAAACAGTGGCTCAATAATCAATCAAGCAATATCTGTATAATTCAACTCTAACTAAGCCATATAGAAGAACGGAAAGAACTGTTAACTAAGCTTTTTCTGGAGACTAGAAAATCTCCTTGGGGTGAAAGACGCACACATGAGAGAAGATGCTCCACTAAACATGATAAATGGTTAACATCTGAAAAGAATAGACACATATATAACTGAATCACTTAGCTATACACCTGAAGCTAACACAATACTGTTAATCAACTGTACTCCAATATAAAATAAAATAATTTTTAAAAAGGTTAATATCCAGTGATTGGGAGAATAAATACAGACCAGGAAAGAACAGTGGGTTCTTTATGAGGTATGACATCTGAAATGGAACTTGAAAGGACAGAAAGAGGTGAAGAGAGAACGTATGTGTGGTATGTGTGTTAAGCTGCTTTAGTTGTGTCCGACTCTTTGCGACTCCATGGACTGTAGCCTGCCAGGCTCCTCTGTCCATGGGATTTCCCAAGGCAAGAATACTGGAATGGATTGCCATTTCTCCAGTATGTGTGGTATACTAGGAAAATAAGTTGAAAAAGTCACCTGGGGTCTTTGGTATGACCTAATTCTGTGGGTAATGGAGACACACTAAAGGTTTCTGAGCAGGGTGATAATATGCGCAGTGCTTTACATCTAAGGACCAGTCATTGGGTAGAGGGGCTTAAGTGCTTTGAGGCACAAATTACTAGGAATCTGTTAAAGGAGTCCCAGTGGAAAGAGCGGGAACATGGGTAGGGCTTGGGGGCGGATTTGCAACGGAAGAGACAAAAGAGCAGAAGCTGGCCAAAGGGATTCTGTGTCTCATGCTTGTGTAACTTGGGGAAAGACTTCACCCAACTGCAGATGAATGAGGAAGAAGAAATGTTTGAGATGGTGAATTCAATTTTCCATAAGCCCTGGCTTTTACATAACTGAATGGTGCTGTGGATTTAACTGTGTCTCCCATGAAGTCCCATGTTGAATCCCTAACCCTCAGGGTGAGGGTATTTGGAAATGAGATAGATAGGTCTAGATGAAGTCGTGAGGGTGGGGCCCTCATGATGGGATCAATATCCTTATAAGAAGGGAAGAGACATCAGAGCTTCCTCTCTCTCAGCCAAGAAAGGATACAGCCCACTTTCTACAAGTCAGGCAGGGGGAACCTCACCAGAAGTCAGCCATATTGGCACCCTGATCCCAGACTTCTGGCCTTCAGAAATGCAAGAAGTTTCTATTGTTTAAGCCACCCTCTCTGTGGTATTTTGTCATGATGGCCTGAGCAGATTAAGATAAATGCACAAGTAAAACACATGTAATCTGGACTGCCTTTATAAGTACCATTTGGCTAAAGGAAGGAAACATTTATCACAGACAATTAATAAAAACCTGTTTACTCTCACTCATGTCCAAGTAACAGAAGAACAACAGCTGTTTTAAAATTGGACATCATCTCATGAATGTGGGTTGTTCATTTTTAAAGCCTGTTTAAACCCTAGAGATGAGGACACAGATACAGCTGAGTTGTTAAAAGTATAGGCTCTGGAATTGGATAGACCTGTTTTACATCTTATTAGCTGTGTTACCTGGAATAAGTCACTTCGTCTCTCTGAGCCTTAGTTTCCCTATTTTTAACATGAAGAAAATTAGTTGTTACTGGGTTGTTGTGAAGATTAAATGAGAATAATTTAAAGTGCTTAATGCTGTTCCTGGAACAAAGAGTGTGCTTAAGAAATGTGAAATAGTATTACCTAGGGGTCTTTGGATTTAGAAGAGGAAATTGATTTGCTTATGGCCAAGGTAAACTCCAGTAATTGGTTTAGACAAACCTAAGCCATGGTCAATGTATCTCTGGGTACTGAATTACTGTGGATCAGTGCCTTTCCTTGAGAACCCTAGGTTCTACAAGTTCTTCCTAAGCAGCTTGTTGAAAGCAGTCGAGTGGCTATGCTATCAAGTGTTTGGTCTCCTGTGAAGCATAAAAATTCACATAGAAAATGGCTCCAGGACCTCAACCTGCACAGAAACTGTTACAGAGACTGACTTTATTACATTCAATTTAAGAGACCATGAAAAGGGATATTTTTTCTTAACATGGACCAGGCCAGGATATCAATGCTAAATATCCAGACCCTAAATATTTAGAAAATGAACCACTTTTCTAAAGCTTAAGAAGAGTAGTTTTTTTAAAAAAAGAAACATGAGGTGGAAAGTGCCAAATAATCTCAAATAGGCCATTAGCTAAGTCCTCAGGGAAGGTTCTAACTCACAGGGATAAACCACCTACAACCAACCAATGATAAATTAGAGAAAACAGAGCCTTCTGCATAAGTAGCTGTGGTTTACATCTGTACCAAGGCCTAAATATACAAACTGATGCACTTTCTTACTTTTTAAGGCTTCTAGTACTTTTAGGAAATTCACGTAGCAGCTTCTTACGATATTCAGTCAACAACTCATGTAATCGATCCTCTTTCCTTTCGCTTTCTTCAACAGTCTTGGTGGTCAGTTCCAAGAGTTCGGTGTTGGTTTGGAAAAGGCGGCAGGCATAGCAGGTGGATTTTGCAGTCTCCATCTTGTCGCCAGTAAGCACCCAGACTTTCAGACCTGCGGCATGCAGGGCTTCAATGGTCTCAGCAGCTTGATCCTGTAGCCTGGGAACACAAAGGAAACTTTGTTATCTTTGAAGATTCCTGACACAGATTCTGTTAAAGAGAATATTCTTATAATTCATGGCAATTTTGGAATCTTGACATGTTTTAACAGTTACTTTTCTTATATATCCTCTACCCTTTCTAAGCATATTCTTGTCGGCATAATTTTACTTATTAAAGTACATTTCAGACAATGAGGTTTTGAAAGTTCATGACCTCTCTTGAGGTAACTGGTATCTAATGACAGAAATAAGAATCATCACTCTTAGCTAAAATGTTCAGAATCTCACCAAATGGTATTACTCATTGTCACTTTAGCATATTTCATTATGTTGTCTACAAATACTTAATGTGGTTCAAAACTGAAAGGGCCGGACACATCCTAATGAGATACTGAGAGAAGTCAGCAAATTCCCATCCCTGAGGACCTTGAAAGCCAAACATTCTGAAACACAATTTAAGCATAATTCTGAAAGGGAAGGACAGAAGAAGGATACTTCGTATTCCTTCTGGCTAGAGAATAACAATGAAATTGTTGTTTAGTTGGCAAGTTGGTCTGACTCTTTGTGATCCCATGGACTGTAGCCAACCAGGCTCCTCTGTCCATGGGATTTCCCATGCAAGAATACTGGAGTGGGTTGCCATGTCCTCCTCCAGGGGATCTTCCTGACCCAGGGATTGAACCTGCATCTCCTGCATTGGCAGGCCGATTCTTTACCACTGAGCCACCAGGGAAGCCCAACAGTGAAATTAGACTGTATGAATTCTATTAGAACCTTCCAACATAGCTGAATCTATGTTTATAACTTCGTGTTTAGGTTAAGCCTGATAATTCGCATTCATTACTTCTAGAAAACCCCCAATAGAATCTAAAACATATTTTTTCAAGCAGATCAATTTTGGAGCCCTATAATCATGTCCGGCAGAGCCAATTATTTTTAAAATGTGCTCTAGTCTGTTAAACCAGGTTACAATGAGTTCTCATGTTGCTTGCTCTACCTTGAATTTCCCTTCTGCTCATATGTCTGTCAAAATCATATCCATTCCACCAAACACCAACTGAATGATACCTCTAGAACAAAACTTCCTACACATAGTAAGACTACTTCATAAATTTCTGTATAAATGAAGGGATGGCTTAGGAAGTACTCAAAAGACCTTCGAGATGACAGATTCATATTCTAAGTCACAAATACTTAACTCAAAAATTATTTCCACAAACAGTTCAAAACCTGGTGTACAGACAAAGCTAAATCAAAGATTTCAAAGCTTGAGAATAAATAACCAATCTGGACAGATACTACTCTAAATGATTGGTCATTAAAATAACAAGAGTATCATTTTCTAGTTACTTGTCTTCCACTGCAGTGGCTCCAATTAAATGCATGTCTGTCTCAATCTCATCGAAAACCTTTTCCATTTTTTCTTCTCTGTCTTGTAAGGCCATTTTTGCCTCTATGAGCTGTCTGTTAACTCTTTCATAATCATCTGGAGAAATTTCTTTGAAGGCTACACAAAGTGTCCGATACCCCTCCTAGAAGCAAAGTAGGAGATCTCTAGTTATCCAAATAACAAATAAAAACAAACAAAATACACTCTTTAAATACTCTTGCTTTATCAAACAAACAAAAAAAAAGAAATTCTGACTAATTTCCTTTTCAGTTAAAAAAGGGAGAAAAAACAGATTGTATTAGGTTAACATTCAGTTGGGTTCAGAATAACAAAATAATACCTCTTGGGTTTAAAAAAACACAAAAGCAGAACATAAAACAAAGATTCTTGAAAAGTCTTCAAAGGCTGCAAATTCTGAACAGAAACTTGCTCCAGGATGTTTTATATTAAAATAAGGAAAATAATATTATAAAATCCCCCAATACAAAAATAGACCATCAAAATAAGCTAAAATTTAAATTGTGCTTTATATAGCAATCCATAGACATAATCATCTCTAGCATTTCTCCTTCTCTCTATTGAGGGCAGGGGTGCAGGCTCACCATTGCATTATGTTCCACATGGACTTTAATTAACTCGATTTCATGATTTTGCACCCTGGGGAAAACTGCTGAGTCGGCTCCTTTACAAAAGAGAAGTATGTCTCCTAAAATAAAGAATCAGAGTACTTGACTTACTTAGAGTTAGACTGGTATTGGGATTTTCATAACAGGTAACTATTACGGTCACTTCTCCCTCCCAGAAGCTGTGTATCCTAGGACTGCCTTGGAATGTTTACCCAACTGGAAGCAGACATCTTGACCTTTACTCTGTCAGGACAACATCCACCACCTCTGAGGACCAGTAAGGACACAACTAATACCCCAGAGTTTACAGTATGCACCTCTGTTAAAATATATACCTTGTAAGTGAATCACTTGTGTCAAGGAGCTGCATCTGAATTCACTATGAGGATGCTGTCAACCATGATCTAAAAGTCACATGTAGCATCTATAGATGTCAAGGAGCAAACTCAGGCTCAAACAAGAAAAAATCATTTTCAAAGCCTATACATGTTAGCTTTTAGCAGTAGCTTGTCGGTTTTCACTGGAAACTGGAGAATTGCTCTGTAGAATGCTATTATTAATATAGCTTTATACCAGTCTGTGTACCCAGGAGCATAGATAGTTGACCTTTAAGAAAGAGATTCCAACCTTATAAGGCAAAGTGCTAAGTTCAAGAAGTTAAAAAATGGTAGCTCTGAGGTTAAGGCCCTTGGGAGACTACTTCCTCAGACATCTCATTATCTGCAGTAGAATGCAGACATGCATGGGTACAGGTAAGAACAAAAGAATTCCACACGTTAGGTGTTTTTTTTTTTTTTTTAAATTCTCTCACAGGGACCTCGCTGGTGATCAAGTGGTTTAAAATCTGCCTTCCAATGCAGGGGATGCAGGTTCAATCCCTGGTCTGGAAAGTAAGATCCCATATGCCATGGAGCAACTAAGCCCACACGCCACAATGAAGAGCCTGCTTGCTGCAACTAAGACCTCATGCAGCCAAATAAATAAATAAACATTAAAAGAAATTTCTCTCGCATATCCATGGTGTGTTTAAAAGTCATAGAACAAATTCCACATTCACATATAATGAAATCAACATTGTAACTTTGCAGTCACACCACAAAGTATGAATAAGGATGGACATATTCCCTCAAGGGTCTATCTATATCTTTTCATTTTCATATTAAGAAATTTTCAACAGATTTAATCCTAAAAAGTTAATTAATAGGAAATAAATCAAAGATATTTTGAAAAACCACCCAGAGACATACATACAGAGACACACTTACACAGAGGAATCCGAGCCCAAAAATGAAGCAGCAATGCTACCCCATGGGTATTGCTGAATCTGAGCAGAAGGCATCACAGCCACCACGGCTTCTCCTAAGAACATGGGTGAACCCTGAAAGGATGGCACTGGTTCCCCTGAAAAGGGCAAGCTTCTTTATTGTGTGAAACAAAGAGCCCAGGGTGCTAGGGTAAATCACGTGCCCTTTCCCAGCAGTTGGGCCTTGGTCATCTCTGGCTCACCTGCTCCCAGAAAGTGTAAAGCAGTGGGGAGTTAGGATGGTCAGGGAAGGAGAACCAGCAACTCTCTACACTCAAAAACTACCGCTAGTAATCTCAAACCATGTGGTTGTAGTGGGCTGCCACAGGTAGACACTGGTGGTGATTGGTCAATACCCTGAACTGTAAAATGTCACCCTTTCTGTTCCTGTTTGGATATCCAAGACTGAGAAGTGGAGCTCACTTTCCAAGAAAATTCATATATTGTCATACTAGGGGTTCTGCCACTGATAACTGACAAGCTGAACATGTGCTTATGTAAATACATTCAGGGATATACAAGAGCTCTGCATGACTTTAAGTAATCAAACACTACTACATGAAATGTTTTTCTCTCTTGAAGTAGTTGATCAACAAATCTACAAATGGAAAGACAGAAAAAGTCAAGTCTTAAATATTCATACCTGAATGAGTCTTCACAATTACACTCATACGACGGCGGACAGCATCAAAGTTTAAGGTGTGAAGAAGTTCATACCTTTAATAGAAAAAAAAAAGTGAGAAAAGTGAAATACCAAGACCACACTGGGAAAAATAAAACACAGCAGAAACATCTTACATTAACAGAGCTTTCCTCTTGGATTAAGGGTTGCTGCTTGTGTGCACAAAGGGTACTTTTCATTGTGTTTTTGGAATTTCTCTGCACTTGGAACATGCTGTCAGGGGATACCAGCGGTGGTTAAGGGATATCTATACTTTCTCATTATATGACTTAAAATAGTAAGGGGAGAGTGACTGCATAGGAATGAGGTACAAAGAGCTGTCCCACCAAGCCATATCTAGAGGCTATCTAGAAATAGTCCCATACTGCCACTTATTTTAATCATCTACGGAATGCCTATTATGTGTTGGGCACAGTGACAGATGCTGGAGAAGAGACATGAATCTTCTCTTAAGGGGCTTATCATATGATAAGTGTGTGTGGGTGTGAGTTGATTGCTCAGTTGTGTTCCGACTCTTTACGACCTTATGGACTGTAGCCCATCAGGCTCCTGTGTCCGTGAATTCTCCAGGCACAAATACTGGAGTGAGTTGCCATGCCCTCTGCTAGGGGATCTTCCTGACCCAGGGATCAGACCCAGGTCTCCTGCATTGCAGACAGACTCATTACCATCTGAACTACCAGGAAAGCCCATGATAAGGGAGGCAGAGGTTAATGAAATGACTACCTCCTTGTCTTCCAAATACTGAAGTAAAGGAACACACAAGGAGATGTAGGAGCACAGAAGGAAGGCCTCCTGGAGGAGGTTTTGCCTGAGCTGTGTCTTGCAGCAGTGACATGATGGAGAAAGGATATCATGGCACTCTGAGTATAGAGAAGAGCATGTGCAAAGGCACAGCAACATGAGAGCACATGGCCCATGGCGGGACTGACAGTAGTCCACATAAGGCTGACATCTACTTGATAGGCGAGCAGCAAGAGAGGTAGGCAGGGGTTAGGACCTGACAACACTGTGGGCCATTGCAGATACTTGGGATTTCATCCCAAGGGCAACAGTAATCCATTGAAGGGTATAAACAGTGGAATGACATGATCAGCTCTGTGTTGCACTGGCTAAGCTATACAGTAGATGAAATGAAGAAGAAAAATAAGAGTTATTTGAGAAAATGTGAGGAAATAGTTTCTTGAAAATAAATAACTTATATACAAGTATCTGATTTAAATGTATTTACTACCAAGCTTGTCTTTGATGGGAGTGAGCAGGTCACTGGTTTGGGGATATAGGATATGTGTGTAAGACATCTACTTGTAGCATAATGTCTCATTTGCTATTGGCCAGATGGGGGCACTGTTGTGAACCAGCTAGAATCTCGATTTTGACAGTAACTCTGGGCTCCTTCCTGGCAGTCAGGCCAGAGTCTTCCTCTGGGTTCCTCTGGCTCTTGAACATTCCTTTCCAAAGAGGCATATTCTCTAGCAAATCTACATGTGTTACAGGTTTCTGAGATGGGTCTCAGGAGATGCTAGGAGTCAGAATGAAAGTCAGATAATTATATTTCAAGTTCTTATAAAGGATATAAAATTAATCAGAGGGCCTAATTAAAACCTCTTATTAAGGCAAGGTGGATTTGTTTGTTGGGATCTCTGTAGCAAAAAAAAAGGAAATGTGGAGCATACTACTGCACCAGAGTACTTGCCCTGGGGCTCACACTCAAGCATCTAGAACAAGAGAAAGTTTCTGACACCAAAGCTGTTATGACTGGCAGGGTGTGTAATCCCAGAATGATTAGTTAGGTTCTAGACAGCAGAAGGTTTCATACATGTTCACTGATTTTTCTTGGAGCATGTGCTGGAGACCTGAAATGGCGTCTAAAATTCAGAAAAGTCCAGGCAGACGCTCATTCAGGCTACTGGATTGATGTGTGAACAAAACTGGAATCATTTACATCTCAAATGCTAATTTCTGCCACTCTATGAAAAATGTCTTCTACTCCAGCTACATTTATATAAAACTCTTACCTGGGAGAGCAGAGTTTTTATAGATGCAATTACTTCCCTTTGCTGCCCTTGCTAAATCCATCTAAAGCTGACTATGGAGTTAACAAATGAAAATCATCAAACATACAGAGCTACTTACTCTTCTATTTCTTTTCTTTGGTTCTCTACTCTCATATAGCCATTCTGAACTCCTACAAATGTGAACCCATACCTGTGAAACAAAATAAAAAAGACTGTTGTGTATTTTTCAAGAATGATGAATTTCCCTTTGCACTGGGGTTATTCATACTTGTTTATTGTTTTCTTCTCTTTCATAAAACCCCAATCTATAGCTGTACTTCCTTTTACTTGCTGAGATATAACACAGACCATGTCAATGCCCAGTCACAAATCATAACCAAAAAAAGAGGCGATTTGTAATTTCAATTCTGTAGCTAACACATGGGGTGACCTTTTATCCACTTAATCATCTTGGGCCTCATGGATAAAGTAGGACTTTCAATAACCAAATGATATCAAAATTGCTGGGAGTAATTCAGAAATAACATGTATTATATGAAAAGTGACCATTGTTAGAAGATTTCCAAAATATAATGTGAACATTTGGACTTCTGGCTGGAATGCATAAATAGTGATGAAAGTTACAACTATGCATTGCTATTTTCTCTTTGGTCTTAATTGGTTAGGTTTGGGAATTTTTTCCAACTTTTCGATAAAGTAGCTTGGCTCCTTATTAAAGAATAAGGATACCTGTAAGATAAGGTTATTGAAGCAAATAAGAGAAAAACCAAAATAATGCCTGTCCTGTGATTTTACTTTCTTAGGAGAAATACAAGAAATGTTTGATTTTTTTTACTCTTGAAAATGCTAATGTATTTTTCTACAACTTATTTTTGGGTTTTAAAACAGCATTACTTACTGAGGTATAACTAATGGAGAACTGCAAATATTTAATTTGTGCAACTGGATGATGTTGGAAACATGCGTATGTCTGTGACATCATCATCACAATCAAGGGAAGAGATATCCTGATATTTCTCAGTTTCTTTGTGTCTTTTTGCTTTTTTGTTGTTTTGGGTAATAAGAACATTTAACATATGAGATCTACTCTTTTAACAAACTTTGAGGTGAGAATACCATATTGTTAACTACAGGCAGAACGTTATTATCCAGAAATTATTCATCCAGCATAACATATGTGCTTACTTTTTAGCTCCTTTGACCAAAGCTATTTCATCTGGTGAAGACGACATATAGGTTAATTCAGCTGATTGTGTAACTCCATCAACAGTATCATTTGTTTTAACTTCTACAGTGTGACATAAACACAAGGCACGCAGAAAGAGCTCTTCTCGACTCTGTTGAACAGCAACAGAAAAATGACTATATTATTTTTACTGTGATCACTTGGTAAGTAGTCAATGAACAGAGAAAAGTTATTAATGTGAGAGCATTTATAATCACCAGCAAATTGAATAGCAGAAATTTATGAATTCCTAATACTCAAATGAGCTATATATTCTCCTAATCCCTGCCAACATGCCTGGTCCCCAGCTAACATACCTTAGGGGCTCTATTAACTCATTCTTACTGCAGTGCCACCTAATCCCAAAGCAGTGACATCTCCATGGCCTAAAAGAGTGCATTCAGTTTTAATTCACAATCTAGCAATAGCTCAGGTGCATGGAGACTCTGGTTCATTTAGTGCCTAGACACTCCTGGGGCTTGAATGACTTCAGTAGACATAATTCTCGGAGCAGCTCATATTTTTAAAGATAAAGTACCAAATATGATCACACAGTGAAAGTGAAAGATTTACCCAAATGCCATTTCTCACAATGTTCTCTTTTTATAAATTCTACTTGTTTACAAATTCCAGAGGCATCCATAAAATAAGAAAGGTGAAGTTGCAACAACAAACAAATGGCTATTCAAAAGTCTATGTCACGTGCCAAAATCCTTTATTTCTACTATGTTAACATATGCCTATCTAAATTGATTTCTCAAGGCAAAATGGTAACGCAAAAAATACCACCTTATCTGCTCTGTCGAAATATGGTAAGGGTCCATCAGTTTGAGATAGTCCATCAGTCTCCTGAGCTACACCTTTATACTTATGCCCATCTATGCAGCATTCAATGAATTCCATGCTGTTTTCAGTGAGTGTTCCGGTCTTATCAGTAAATACATAATCCACCTAAAAACAAGAATACAAACAAATGTATTCTTACTTTCTTCAATGTGATTAACTTTTAGTTAGCATGGCTATTTTCATATCCACAGAAATCACCTTTTCTAAAGACTTGTCAAATGTCAGACAATGACAGAAGCAGTATTATCAAATGAATGAGAAATGAACATGTATTTTTTTTAAAAAGATTCTGAAAAAGTATCACATGTCTAAGGTTCTTGTTGTTCAGCCGCTAAGTCATGGCTGACTCTTTGGTAGACCTACTCAAATACAGATTAGTAGGAAGGAAAATGGGGCTATTTTGTCCAAACTAAGACTCCTTCAATTTAACACCTACTTGTTTTGATATAAAGAAGTTAACATAACAAAAGTCAATTTTCCAAGCAGGAAACATTTTATGGACCACTTATTTCTCTATCTCTCTGACACACACAGAAAATATAAATGATAGGCATTAAATTAACTGGGCCTTGGAGAAGGAAATGGCAACCCACTCCAGTATTCTTGTCTGGGAAATCCCAAAGACAGAGGAGCCTGGTGGGCTATATAGTCCATGGGGTCACAAAGAGTGGGACACGACTTAGCAAGTGAGCATGCATGCATGCAAATTAATTGGGATGTAACAAAAGTTTTCCTTGAAAAGTAAAATTTTCTATAAATATACTGGATTGAAATGAAATGCACTGTGTCTTATACATATGTAACAGTTACAGAATATAGATAGACAGGGGAAATAATAATAACAGTTAATTAGGAGACACAGTAAGTCGATAAATGATCAAAAACATAAATGAAGTTTCTTCCCCAATACTATGTGTATTTTCAGATACTCCTCAAAAAAGTTTCCAAATTAAAAAAAAAAGGAGCAGAGTTTATAATGATAGGTTAAAGTATAAGCATACTTTCATAAATAATGGAAAAAATAGACTATGAAATAAATTTTCCATGTAAAATAAGCCTTTTTGAGCATTTCCATTTTATCTCAGTTTTTATCTCTTCTATTTATAACATCTGGCTTTTGGAAACCCACAATTTTATCCTCCTTTTTGGCAATTTATGCTTAAATAGTTAAAATTACGGGCTGACAGGAACAAGCATAAGTACAAGATTAAGGTTTTTATTATGTAAGGGAGAAAGAGATGAACTGCGGCAGTAGCTGCTTTCTAATTATTTTTCAAAGCTTTTCACGGTAGCAGCACTGGCACAAATATAGCATTCCAATCTTCTCTTTTTTCTGTTAGCCAGCCAAGTTTGAATTCTCCCTTTAAATTAATCCAAGTGCTATTATTCCTGTATCATCTAGATTTTCCTAGTTAAAATGAAATTCTTTGGGGCTTTTTGTGTGATCAAAATTATTAACCTTCATTTTCTCCCAAAAGGTTCTCCTGGGTTGGTGCAGCTCCTACAGCTGAGTGAGCATTAACCCATTTTGAAATCTTTTATAGATGACAAAGGTAATAACTTAAAAAACATAAAGTGAAATTGTTTGCCTATATATAAGAGTTTGCACAGTATGGATCTGTCTACAATTAATCTCAAGGGTATAGGCCAACAAAGTATACTGTGATAGAGGGATTATCAAACTGTAGTCTGCAGCACACTCAGTTGGAGGGTGCTTGTTAACTCAGATTGCTGGGCTCTATCCCCAGAGTTCCTGACTCAGTAGCTCTTGGGGTGGGGCTAGATAATGTGCACTTCTAATCAGTTCCCAGGTGATGCTGATGCTGCTGTTCCTGAGCTCATGCTCTGAGAACCAATGATCTAATATATGCACTATACTAAGCTCAGATGGTAAAGCGTCTGCCTACAATGCGGGAGACCTGGGTTTGATCCCTGGGTAGGGAAGATCCCCTGGAGAAGGAAATGGCAACCCACTCCAGTACTCTTGCCTGGGGAATCCCATGGACTGAGGATCCTGGTAGGCTACAGTCCATGGGGTCGCAAAGAGTTGGACACGACTGAGCAACTTCACTTTCACTTTTTTCTTTCAAGGACAAGAGGAGGAGAGGATTGGCTATTATTAAAGAGTATCCTCATACTTATAGGAGAGACAGGGCTGATGAGTGAGAGGCTACTGCCTGCCTCTGATTCTCATCAGCTTCTTCCTCTTTAGTGGTAGGTTTGAGCTGGTTGCAGACCCTCTCTATCAGCAAGCTCAAAGTCATCAATTTATGGACAGAAAGCCTAAAGTGAGATAGCTGTTCAAGAATAGAGAGAGCCCTAAGATAAAGGCTGAACACATGAAATCATCTAGTTTATAGGTCAAAATTGGTCAAAATATTTTTTATTGTTTAACTTAGTGAAGACCTTCTACTGGAGTCATGGCTCCACCACCCAGTAACTTTGTGACCTTGGAAAAACTCCCATCTCTCTGAACATTAAACATTAGCCTTAAATAATCAAAGCTGCTGCACAAGGCTGTAAAGATTACTAAATATGCTTGTAAGCTCTAAGGTGTTACATAGATGTTGACTGTCATTGCTGCTGACCTGATCAAAATCACAGTACTGGACTCTTTCCATCATTTCATAGTCCCTATAATTTTTCTGATTATCATCACATTGCTAAAGTTAGGGTACGAAGGTGTATTTCTTCAACTATATGGTGAACAATTCAAGGTTTTCTTTTTTACTTTGTAATAGAAACCCCCAGTACCAAGGACGTATCTTAGATAACACAGAACTTTAGTGCACAACCACTAGATTGAATTACTGGAATCAGAGCATATACCCTGGCATACTGCTGGGCATAGCTGAGAGACTGAGATGGGATATGAAGGAACAGGCTATCCCCACGATTTTTTCAAGGTTGAAACCATTTGGTTGCCTAAAGGACAGATGTCTAATCATAAAAGACCCCATTCTTTTCCAATTGAACTGAGCAGTCTACTTCTTTTTGCTTTTCAAGTCAAAGACGAACAGTGTTCTAAACATATCTTCCTATTTTTCTTTTAATACCAATGTGGGTCACTTTGAAAGAGGTTAAGCAAGTGTTTGCAATGGTCCTGATGGAAACTGACACTGCTCTTAAGTAAAATGAAAGTCCTATAGATTTTAAACTATGACTCATCAAGGAGGAAACTGGTTACACTTGATTTTGTGTGTACTGGTCCACTGAATGCAAAACGAAATCATTTTAAGACTTCCTTGCATTTTCATTTAGGTTGTTTCTATACATAAAAGCTGATGTAAGTTGGTATGATGGTAAGTTTTTTTTATACTGTACAAATGTAAGTGGTAGTCTGGTTATTACCTTAGTTGGTTAAATGACAATCATACCCAAAAAGGCAGGTTTTAGTGGGGGAAAGAAGTGGTGGCTAAAATGAAAACTGGTTTGTTTTCACTGATCAGATTTATTACTAATAGATCGTTATCCAAAGCTCTATTTTACTTTCTGAAGTATGAATAAGTCTAGCTGATAGGAACAAAACCACATCCTCATAGATAAGATGGAATCTGATGAGGTGGAGATCTGGCCTGTATATCCTGCCTGTCTCTCATGAGAATTAGGTGCCACATGTGGAAAGATGGCTGTTCTATTTGCAGCAGCTGGGGACTAGCCATGTTCACCCTCGGGTAGGTTAATCCATGCAGTCAGGCACTGAATCTAGAAGAGGCAGATCAGCTGTCAGGGAAAAGTTCACCAGAGGTGGCTTATAACTCATTTTTTTTCCCATGCAAAAGAGTTGCAGATTGATGCCTTTAGCTGGGACTAGAGCAGTTCTACCAGGCTCAGTCCCTGGATGAAAAGTTCTGGTTTACAAAGGCTTAGGTCATCTGTGGTCACTGAAGTGACCTATAAAAGAAACTTCTGGGAACAATATATAATGGAAAGGCATTTGCCTGTTCATGGCTTATTCTATTCTCTGTGACTCAGTGTCTCTGTGGGAGGCAGATGCCACCCTCTGGGATCCTGGAGTCCTAGAGTCAGGTCTCAACATAATGGTATCTGGAGAATCCTTTCACCCTGTGACTAGTTGTCAAGTGGATACTCTAGTTTAGGCAAAGGTTGTATAAAGAACAGAAACAGAGAGTGGGGGTAGTGGGAGACTGAATTCAGGAGCAGAGTTTTGAGGTTATAGGTGCAAATCGGCACCATTTAAAACAACTGTGAGGCCCTGTTCCATCCACACAGTTCCATTAACTGATTCTGCATCTCCTCGTCCCAGAAATGACATTTCCACAGCCTTGACATTCTAAATATAAAGAGAAGTAAATGTAAGCCAAAACACTCCCCTTGGCTTGTGAAAATCATTACATGACACAGTAAATTCAGATAAAGGCAAAAACTTTCTCAATACTAGTCAGAAAAGAACCCAAGAAGTCACCACTTGAAGAATTACAGCTAGGCTACAGCTGAAAACAACCTGGGTTAGCAAGAAGGTCAAAGCCTGGACTACACTGGTACATGAAGCAAAAAGCATTTAGTGGAGTGCATGCCCTCACATCTTCCCTTCATTTAAATTCTTGCACAGAATAAACAACTCTGCTTTCTAGGTCTATATTCCATCTGATCAGAAATGTCCAAGAAAATGTCCATAGGACAACTCTGGTCAATTTGATTTATGGAACAAAATGCATTTATAAAATAGCTTTATTTCCACTACCCCACATTCTATCCCTAATTGATTATAGATGGTGATGAAGACTACTTGCTTCCTGTTCCAAAGCAATAACCCATAATCAACACCACCAACAGGATGAGTTTTAAAGAGAATTTCTGTAACATTCAAATTTAATACATAAATCGGGTCTTTCTCAAAAATGCCAGCAAAAACTGACACTATAATTAAGATAACATTGCTTGCCTTCATTACATGTCTGCATAAAGAAATTTTTATTGAGTTACATTTCCAAATGTGAAATGGTCGCAAACACTGGTAATCCAGACTACAATAAAAGCAATTTTCACTGTTACCTTATTTTAAGTAAAAATAAGTCCTTACCTGACCAAGTTCTTCATTAAGGTCTGATGTGTTAACCAGGGCTCCTTCATTAATTTCTTCATCATAGAAGTCGTTATCCCATGAAATGAAGAAGGAGCCCAAGAATTTTTGCATTTCTACTGTGACATACATGGAGACAGGAATGATAAAGTTGAATAGAACCATAAATGACAGGAAGTCGGTGAACATTTTCAAAACCTAAAAAAAAAGGGAATAGTTCATGATAATTAAACACATAGTTCCATCAAGCAAGTGTAATATAAACTTTCTTTTAATTTCAATGCTGAAAGCACTGCTCTTGCTATAAAAAGAAACTTCCCAATGACACTATATCATTGGTCAACATTATTATCATAGCATGTGAAAACATGTAAAACACCCCGAATTTTGTCACTTTTGTTTAGTGAATGTACCTTGACTTAACACTTCTTACTTTCTTAAGGTATCTGGCTTGTCCCACCCTCAGATATGAATGTAGGATCAAAGTTTTCATGTAGGCGTCCATTATGTTCCTATCATGATATATCACAAGCTGATAATGTATTAACATGCCAGACCTTTTGGCCCAGTAGCCTAGAACTCTTAACTTAAGAGTTAAAAACAAGGATATACGCCTAGGGTTAAGAAGAAAATCCTAGAATGTCTTAAAGTTAATGGCTTGGGGCTACCATATAACCAAGAGAAATCTCTAATACCAAGGTATCATTATCTGAGCAGTATTTCAATAAAGGTATTGAATTTCAATAAGTATTTCAATTTCAACCCCTGCCACAATGTAGTAGGGTTACAAATTTCAGCATAAAACAAATTACCTTCCAAGTTTCCCGTTCTTTCTGGGTCTTTTGGTTATACCAAGGTTCATCATTATATGGGGTGCTCTGCCAAACATACTTTAGAGTAGTGCATATTGCAGCTTTGGTCAGTAAGATAAATAAATACACAATCAGGAAAGCGTTAATGGATCTGAAAAATAAGATATTATGAATTTAAAAACCACTGAAATACTGAAGATATCAACCAGGTATAAACTAAATTGTTCAGTTTTCTAAAGCTTCTCCTATGTACAACGTGTAACCATAGCACAGGCCTGTATGGGTGAACCTCAGTTATCACTGCCAAAGCATTACTCTTGACTGGTAAAATGGAAAAGCCAGTCCTAACCGTAATCCAAAGTGCAATGGCTAATTAGCTCAACACACTTTTAGTAAGGATCCTATAGAGTGACAGAAGACACACACCATTACCTACTCAATCCTTATAAAAGGAGTAGACTGTTTCCAAACCTCAATCCTAAAGGTTTGGAATAGAGGGTGGAGGAGCAAATGTGAAATAGTCAAGCTTAGTGTGGATTCTTTTAATCCGAAAGTAGAGCTATGAAGAGGGTGTTGCTGATATACTGCATGTCCATGGCAGCAGGAGAGCGAGGTCTGTGCCAGTACAAATGGCTTTGAAGGTGTGTCAAGTACCACACAATTATTTGCAAGGAGACTATTACCTGTGTTGCACAAACTCCTTACGTATAGCAACTAGAGGACCCCAAACCATTAACCATCAGCAAAAGAGAATAAATTTTACCTAAACTGTGCCCGTGAATAGCTAAGTGAGCTTACGTAAATCACTTATCATCTCTAAGACTATTTCTCTATCTGTAAAGCGGTCAGACTAACAGGAATTACTCCAAGTTAGAGGATTAAACCAAATCAGACATACAAAACAATGAGCACAATTTCTGGAACAAAAGAAGTGCTTAAAATGGTAATGCTATTACAACTTATGTTGTTTTTTCATACTGTTGATATTTGGAAATACTGAGAAGTAACAATTTCAGTTCAATAACAAGTAAAGAAATTGTGAGGCACACTAACTTTTCAACAGCAGAACGTTTCTGAGATTTCCCTTGGTAGTTCAATGCCATTTTGGTTTCCATTCCAGTGTAAACAGCAACTCCTAAGGAATAACAATACAATGAAAATTAGGTTACATATGAGACTGCCAACCCAACTCCCCACCCAGTTGGATCTACCAACTTTTTCAATCTATACAAATAGGAATTATAAACTCTCTTCTATTTACCAGTTAATAATCACTTACAGTATATTTTTATAGTATAATTTTAACCAACATAGTTTGTCATATTTCAAGTTAGTTTACCATCTTATAAATTCCCAACACCTAAAAAGAGACTTAGACTAAATGGAATTAAATACCATGTCCAATTTTTTTACTGCACCATTTATGAACATTTAGGTTTTAAAAGGTCTATTTCTAATAAGTATATCTTAAAAAAATGTTCACCATATATCTTCTTGGTATTTTTTAGTGTAGCTCCTTTCAACAAGAGATTTTCAGGTCCCAAAGACCTAAACAAAAAATGAACACAATTTATTCAAAGAGTCCAACTAATAGCACCATCAACTTTGGGGACATAGTTTGCTCTCACACACATCTATTTTCAAAAGATTCAGGATGCATCTGTCTACTTAATATGCTTACTAATACTGGACGAGTTGAAAAATCCTCCCCTCTGAAGTTACTTAGGGTACAGCACAGATAGAAGCACACAGTACAGGAGATGCCAGCAACACACAGAGGGAAAGACATGCACAGAGGTGAAAGGACTATGAGTCATGAAAAGCAAGATAACAGCAGACAGCAAGAAAACAAAGAAAAAGTGACTGGAAAAGACTGGAAAAGCAAATGTAAAGGAAGGAGACACATGTAAAGGTGCTGTATTTATAGAGCGCAAACTCGCCTTTGAGGGGGGAATCACTGAGTTCCTGGTGTTTAACTTCCTTCTGAGCACTGGTTATAAAGGCCAAGTGGAAAAGTTAAAATAACTGACTGGGTGATTGAAGAGGGGAAAAAACACCCCTTTTTATATGAACTGTTTCATTATCAACTATTAAGCCTTTCATTTTACGTAAGTCCAGCTATTTCTCCCAGCATTTTGTCTACCGTCTAGTCCCTAAATTACTCTCCCTTAAAACACTACTTTCCAGATATACTTCCAATATGGTCAGGCACTTCACAACCAAGGACAATCAATAGAGTGCATAGAATATATTTGGGAATAGTGGTCAAAGAAGTCTGGAGTTCTATAATTTTAGAAACCCTCATCATCACTTCCAATACCACCCTCTCCCAGGACACACACACTCTGAGCCGCTGCCACTACAACCCTACCAATCACAAGGTGAGCTATTTAAGACCCATCAGTGGCTAGTTACTCCAGATTTATTCACTTTTCCCCATCCCTTTCTATAAAAGAAAGTATTTAGCTATTTTAACGGGCTTAAATGAGAAACATCCCTCCCCTAAAAGGACAGATTAAAGGAATTATAAACTAACCTGGCAACAGCTTCAAGACTATTACTATAGATATTGATTCGGCCAACAAACCTGCAAAAAGAATATAATAGCATGTGTGTCTTCTATATCTAGATAAAATCTATTTACCCCAAATATGGGAATGAATCAAAATACAAATAATGCAAAAAGAGCTAAGACAGTAAACTACGAAAGCCTATTGTCTTAATTTTAAAAGAAAAAGCTAAGTTGAACCAATATAGTCTGTAAATTTTCATCTCATTTTTAAAATATTACAGATTATAAGAATGTAAACAAAGACTCTGAGTTGATTTTCAAGATCTACTTGGCACCACCACGCATGCACACAATACCCCTCTAAACTATACTCATATAAATAATTGGCTTCTATTTTACATTCATGTGAAGAAAGATTTCTGGTGCTAAACCATCTTTCAAAACCACGAGTTCAGTAATTCTTTCATTTGAACATGCATCAGAATTACTGAAGGGCTTCTTAGACCACAGATTTCTAGGCCCCATCCCCAGGCTTTTGGTTTAGGTAAAAATTTGAATCTTCATTTCCCACAAGTTTCTGGTGATGTGGATGCTGTTGGCCTGAGATCATCCTTTGAGAAACAGCCATTAGGGAACACTTGATTGATTACCATCTTGGAAATTTCCAAGCTGTGTCTTGCAGCTGATCTGAATACTGACCTTGATCTGATCAAGTGATCAGATATATGGCTATGCACATGGTAATCTACATTTCTGAAAAATATGGTAAAAAGCTCTAAATCCTTAGTAAGAATGTTATGAGTATTTTATAATGTACATTATAATTTTTTCAGAAAAACTGAACTATTATTATGAAATACACAAAATATGAACATCTGCATTCATTCATCATGTATTAACTGCACCATTACTATGCTTCCTAATAAGCAAGAAAAATGTGTTCCTTGCACCAAATAACATAATCAGGCAATTACAATGTAAGTGATGATTACTAGGGTGGTGGAGGTATTAGGCTGGCCAAAAAATTTGTTTGGGTTTACTCCCAATGAACTTTCTGGCCAATCCAATATTCTGAAGTCACATACCAAGGATACTCAATCTATTAGAGACATTAGGAATAACCTTCCCTCACTAAAAATCTCCATATTTAAGGTAACTGAAAAATTTAGGAGTTACCCTATAAATATGTAAGGATCTATATTATTCTCTAACTCACAAAATCAGTCACTCCCCTTTCTGTGATTCCATGCTTCCTGAAGGCAGCAAACAGCTATTTTGCTCTGTGATCCTAAGTTCCTACTATCAAGGTGGATACAGAAGAAGGGAAAAAATAAAGAAGGAATGATAGGAAGGAGGGAGGGTTTAATTCTTATAAAAGTATGAGAAGTTTCTTTTTCCACTACTGGGCATTGTTGTAAGCCACATCCCACTATTTGGTCCCCTTTTACGATCAACAGCGTTCATTAACAAGATGAGTACCATGGGTGATGGATGCCATCTGTAATGGCAGAAGAGAATATAATTAATTGGCTCACTTGGCCAAAAACCCATTATTCTACCCTCATTAATACCATGCTCTAGTCAACCAAACTAATCAGTAGTCTTAAAAATCAAATGCCAGAAACTTCCTTGGTGGTCCAGTGACTAAAACTCTATGCTCCCAATGCAGGGGACCTGGGTGCAATCCTGGGTCGGAGAACTAGATCCCACATGCCGCAGCATGCCAAATGTGCTGTGCTGTGCTGTGCTATGCTAGTCACTCAGTTGTGTCCGACTCTTAAGCTAAATAAATAAATAGAAAAAAAAAAAAGAAAAATCAAATGCCAAATTTTTGACAACCCACAATGACTGTTAATCAGCAACACTACTCCAGAAAGCCTAGGTGTAGCAAAACAGGAAATCACACCATTTCACTGCTCCCTCAACTTATCCATCTACTTTGGACAAGAAACAGCCTATATACAATACTTAGTTCATCATGATCCTCATAAAAAAGGATAGAGTGCCTACTAATTGCATGATCCTGCATTTCCTTCTCTCTTTACTGTTGGATGACACATAAAGTGTTTTATTTTTGTTTTAATTAACTCTGTCTAGTGCACAAGGTTTGATAGCTCAGGCTTATGGGATTATATAGTCTTAAAATGTGATGGACGGCCATGTCTACAAATAACAATAATAAAAGAAAAACCACAAGTGAGATGCCTGAGCCCACAATAATTTATCTTAGGCTGGTAGTGAACAAGGCTGATTTGATTCATTTGCCTGCCAGAAGGAAGGAACAGCTCATAAAAACACAAATGAAAGGAGGCTGGTAAGTGGTGGGTATTTTAATACTGATGGCAAAGAGAAGCAAAGCCATCAGACAGCAGTAAAATGAAACCAGGTAATTCTTACTTGTAGAGGTCAGGTTGAGGCTGTTCACATTCAATTGCTGCTCTGAGGTTATCAATGGATTCAACTGTACGCAGTTCAGTGGTATCACGTACCGCATAATGTGTCTAGATGAAAGCAGAAGAAAAAACAAAAACAGCCCCCCCAAAAAAGAAAAAATTATAATCATACACCCACCTGATTTCAGGAACACTATTGTTTTTAGTAAGAGGCTTTGGCAGAATAATACAAATATTGATGTACATCTCCAACTAGATAAACTTTATGGTATTATTCTTAAAATATATTACAATAATTAGAAAGTGAACTCTGCTGTGAAGGGATTTCAAAGATAATGAGAAAACTAAAAGCTTTTCTTGATACTGACAGCAAAGAAAATTCCATTTGCACCATGCATATAATTAAGTGAAAACCCCAAGAAAAATTTAAAGCATTTTTTCCCTCCTATTTATAGAACTGCGAGCTATTATTTTGTTCACCATAGTACATGGTGAAGTTAACATACAAATAAGAATTGAATCACCCTTTTGGTCATAAGAATGCTAACATTTTGCTAACAGAAAGAAAAAAATCATCAATAGTTCCCATTACACAAACAGCAAAATTAATGATCTTGAAAATGCTTCAAGTAGCTACAATTCATGTGAGGAGCAGAGAGATGATGTATCTTGCTTTAGTCAGACAGTTAGAATATTCTACTAGGGTATATTATGTACTTACTTGATTGACCCAGAACTCAAGGCAGGTTCCAATGAATCCTTTTATAAATCATCAAAGAAGGGCTGACACAGACTCAAAGACTACACTACTTATGCTGAAGGAAAGCTGTTGCATGATCTCTGGAGAATATTATGGAACTGTCTGAGCTATATTTAAAACTATCTCCTGACGTTGAAAACCTATGTACTTTTAGCTGATTTGATCAGATTAATTAAAGTGGGAAATGAAACCACTTGAAAGTTAAGTTTTCTTCTTCTAAACAACTTTGTCCCTTAGTAGGAAATCTTGAGGTAGATTTCTCAATTTTCACCTAGACATTCCCTTAAATATAACTTTGTTTTCAAATAGTTGAAATGGGACTAGTTCATCACCATGCCCCTGAAGTGGTAACAAAATTAGTTATCTAACAGGCATTTAAGTTCCTTTACCATACACTGAATCCTGGTCCTCAAGTTCAGATAGCATAAACAAGTGGAGGAAAGCCCTCAAGAAGATACACGGAGGTGAGCACATGAGTGCTCTTTCTTAAAAGCAGCAGCACATAGAGGATAAATCTTCATGCCCTGTGGAACTCTGGATGATAGACAAGAACTGACCATGCCAGAAAGTACCAGGGAAGTCAGTTATCCTCCAGTTTGAACAAATTTACTCTCACACATTTTTAATTCTTCCTAGTTGCAATAAAGCAAATATTTGCCAAACTATACCCTAAGGTATTTTTTAAAAGTAATCAAGCCAATAGCTTAGATTTTCAAAATGCCAGGAATAAACATTTTTTAAAAGAGGATATTCATCACTTTAAAAACAAAAATAGATCAAACTTAGAGTACCTTAGATGAAGGTTAGAGTACCTTCAGATGAAATTATTTTCATAGCTATATAGTTTTAGCCTAAGAGTACTTTCATTTTAAAAGCCTAAATACAATGTGGAATGGGTTAATGTCAATATGAAATGTAAACAGTGCTATAAAAATGTGGTGGCTTTTGTCTGGGGTGTGGATTTCCTCACCCAACACCACCCTTTCCCCCAAAGCTGAGTATTTGCTTAGAAGTTTCAAAGACAGTTATATAAATACTGTCTTCAAATACAAAATTTCCACAAATAGGAAAAAATAAGGTAAAAGATTAAGGGCAGTGGGACAGAATATTGCATAATTACCTATCCTTAGCTGAGAATATTTAGGAAAGGTTTAGTCTCCATTACCTTGCAATTAGATTCCCCATCAAGACTGGCTGTGGTAACATAACAGGTTCCATCAACTGTGCAGGATGACAGAAGAATAAGATCACAGGGAAAGGTTTCATCTGCCTGTACTTCTACTATATCACCGACCTAGTACAGACAGAAAAGTAACTATCAATGTTCTTAATTCCAAACAAAGCATTTATTATACCTCCAATTAAAGTCAAGACAGTAGCAAAAGACCTCTCCCCCTCTAAGGCTTAGAATGTCTCAGCATCCTATACCATGTGAAAGGTGATGAAAGAATATTACTCAACATTCATAATTCTCTTTAAGGTCACAAGGACTTATGATGCTTTCAGATTACCTTAGTATTGAACTTTAATCTCTGATACGTGATTTCATTACCCATGGACTCTTTTGCTCTCTGATGTTTTCGGCATTGGTGTTTGATAAGAGAATGACCATTATCATTTCATGACTGAATCAAGAAAATCTACACATTTTCATTTGAGTACTTCAAGAACACTGGGCAGCTGCACTCCCACTCTGCATCAGGAAAAATATTTCTAAATGCTTGGCCTTCCGTGTGGTAATAGCTATTAGTGTCGGGTGACAGTTCTCTCTTCAGTGCTCAGAAAATCTCACTTAATTAGAGAGGCATTAGGTCATTTTCCAACAATTCATCTGCTATCAGTTAGTGCCCAAAGCTCAAGTAGAGAAAAAACCCGAGAGAAGAAACCATGAACGATTTCTAGTGCATAATTTAATACTGTATGAAATCAATCATAATGATTAAAACACAGATCTTTACAACTTGATTTTATGTCCCAGCTCTGCCACTTTAATAAATGACCTTGGGTTAAATGTCTTTGATGATTACAACTACCTCATAGGATTGGTTTTGAGTATGAAATGAGGATACAAGTAAAGTGGTTCACAAAGTACCTGGCACAAATTCACCATCTGATAGCTGTTTATTAAATTATTACTAATATCCTGCAACTACTTTACTTTGAACTTATGAACAGTCATAAAGTTTTTTAGAAGGATGTAAGAAATTATCCAGCCCAGTCCATTCCAACATTTTCCATGCCATGGCACACATAGAAAATGATAAATTAACACTTTTTTACAGCACTCCCAGATAAAGGGAGGAGGGCTGCTAGTGAAAGAAGACAACCCACTTTAGGGAGTCAATATCTAGCTTACCAGCTTGGACACACTGGTTATCAAATGTGGAACTAATAAATGACACACCTGCCTTCCAATTGCTACATAATTTGGCAGATAAAGATGAGGATTTCAAGATCTATTCAGAAACGATTTTACTTTCTTTGCCAATTTTAATCAGTAGCCATGAACAACAGCATCAACAGTGAAACTAATTTGTAAGTATTTTATTCTCTTGGATCTTTCCTTCTTCACATCTGCAAATACTTACATTGCTTATACAAAACCACAATCTATGCTTAAATACACAGAAACAAAATAACAAACAAAATCCTAAAGCATCTCAGAAGAAGGAAACACTCATTTAAAGGATGGAAGATGATTCCCAGGCACTGATAAATATAAACCACAATTTCTTCTACAACGCTGACAATCAGCTCAGATGTGAAAAGGTCTCTGCACCTGGAGTGCAAGTTAAGGCTGGTAAGATGAACTGGGGCCAGACCACAAAAGGTCTGACAGGTCAGGTTCAGGTGTTGAGGCCTCACCCTGAAGCCAAGGGGGCACCGAGAAAGGACTTTTAAAGAAAGGGAACAACATGGTTCAGTTAGACAATCAACTCTAGGATTGTTTCCACTTAACTTGTACAAAATCAACGAGAGAACCTCACCATCCATTATGATAAACATTAGAAAAAGTCAGATAATCAAGAGAATTGTAAGTTTTTTGGGTTCATCAGAAAGTTGAGGCTGCAGGGCAACCAAGTTAAGTGAATTTCAAAGGGCGAAAAGTCCCTCTGAGGAGAGGCAGGAGAAATTGACTCTTTCACAATTAACAAAGCACAGGAGGAAGAGATGGCTGTCATAAAAATGCACAGGAAGAAAATAACTAGATTTTCAACCAACTGTAAAAGGTTTGGGAGGGCCCAATGTGACAGTTTGAAATCTCTGCAAGCCTCAGAAAAAAGAGGAGACCATAAGCACACATCAGTTCTTCTCTCTGAGCACCCACTGTGTGCTCACGAGAAAGGTACAGGCATACAGGTTTGACTGAGTGCTGTGGAGGAACAGGCAAATATGCTGCAACTGTGGACCCTTCTCTCATAGGGTGCAAAAGCCATCTGTGTCTAAGAGCAAGGCAAGAAACCCTCCCTGGCAGGGTCTCAGGGACATATAACTACCGCTAGTGGAGACAGAACAAAGCCATCTGCTGCTGGGGATGGACAGGAAACACCCTCCTATTGAGGACCTGGTACTAATAAAAGGCAAAGTTCAGCTGCCATGGGAGGCTGGGGTGGAGACCAGGGAAGAGTGCTGAAAGTTCTACCCTGAGGCAAAGGTGCATAAAGGCTGCCTAATAATGAGACAGAGTAGGAGAATCAAGAAACCACTCTGATCCCATCAGGAACCCTGCAAAGAATAACAAGAAAGCATAATTTACCACTGGGGGAGGAGAAAGGGCATACAGAGAGGCATCCACTGTGTCTCAGGAATGTAGGACCTGCTGAAAGCAGATAGTGGAACAGGAACACTGAGAAAACCCCTGTGGCAGCCCAGCCGTGCAGGAATTTAGAGTTCAGGGATGTACTGAAAGCATCAACATATCTATGGCAAAATCCAAAGCCAGCCAACTCCTGACCAGACTGACTCAATCTCCAACACTGATGGACTGGCTGACAGAAGCGGTATGACCACTGCAGACCAGAAATACAGGTTACCTGCCTCGATCTCTAGCATTCTTTTCCATGCACTGTCCAGAATTCAATTAAAAACATGAGATGCACAAAACCAAGAGAAAAATGACCTATCATCAGATTTTAGAATTAAGAAACAGGGATAGAAAATTAGCTATGAGTAAAATACCGATGTATTTACTAGAGGGATTTTCTGGTGGTCCAGTGGTTAAGACTGTGCATTCCCAATGCAGGGGGCATGGGTTCAACCACTGGTTGAGGTACTGAGATCCCTCATGCCTCGACCAAAAAAAAGTAAGTATTTACTGGAAAACACAGAAAACATACATGTGCAGATGAAGAATTTGGGCATAAAGATGGAAACTTAAAAAAAAGGCAAATAGAAAAGTGAGAAATAAAAAGCATGGCATGAGAGATAAAGATTTCCTTCAATGGGCTCATCAGCAGACTGGATATGATAAAAGAAATCAGTAAAACTGAAAAAACTCTTCCAATATTTCTAATGCCATACTCTTTCCCTTACAAATAACTATGCTTTTCCACTGGAATTCCTCAAGGCCTGTTGCTCTTCTTTATGTTTTACATCAGTTCATTTGCTCAGTCGTGTCTGACTCTTTGCGACCTCATGGACTACAGCACGCCAGGCCTCCCTGTCCATCACCAACTCCCGGAGTTTACTCAAACTCATGTCCATTGAGTCAGTGATGCTATCCAACCATTTCATCCTCTGTTGTCCCCTTCTCCTCCTGCCTTCAATCTTTCCCAGCATCAGGGTCTTTTCCAATGAGTCAGTTCTTTACATCAGGTGGCCAAAGTATTGGAGTTTCAGCTTCAGCATCAAGTCCTTCCAATGAACATTCAGGACTGACTTCCTTTAAGATGGGTTGGTTGGATCTCTTTGCAGTCTTCTCCAACACCACAGTTCAAAAGCATCAATTCTTTGGTGCTCAGCTTTCTTTATAGCTCAACTCTCACATCCATACATGACTACCAGAAAAACCATAGCGTTGACTAGACGGACCTTTGTTGACAAAGTAATGTCTCTGCTTTTTAATATGCTGTCTAGGTTGGTCTAACTTTCCTTCCAAGGAGCAAGCGTCTTTTAATTTCATGGCCACAGTCACCATCTGCAGTGATTTTGGAGCCCCCCAAAATAAAGTCTGTCACTGTTATCACTGTTTCCCCATCTATTTGCCATGAAGTGATGGGACCAGATGTCATGATCTTAGTTTTCTGAATGTTGAGTTTTAAGCCAACTTTCTCACTCCCCTCTTTCACTTTTATCAAGAGGCTCTTTAATTCATGCTTGCTTTCTGCCATAAGGGTGGTGTCATCTGCGTATCTGAGGTTACTGATATTTCTCCTGGCAATCTTGATTCCAGCTTGTGCTTCATGTTTTACATGAGTCCATCCAAATTTCTATTTCTACCTAAAACATCTCTGAGCTTCAGTCTTGACAATTCCATCTGGCTATCTAATAGGAATCTCAAAATGAACACGGCCCAAACCTGTTCTTCTCCCAGTCCTTTCCAACTTATTTAATAGCACCAGCATTTTGTTTAACAGCACTACTTAATACAACCAGTTGCTCAGGGCAAAATCAAGGAGGCTATCTTTATTCTTTTTTGCTCTTTTTCTCACTCTCTCCATGGAATACATCAGTAAGTCCAGATTTTATCTACAATAAATATCCTGAATAGATCCATTTAGCTTGATCACGCAATAGGAGGGACAAAGTTGTGCTTAGAGCATGGACGCCACACCCAGACTTCCTTCAATTCAAATCCCAGCTTTCCCACTTATTAAGTTATGGACAAGTTTTGTAACCTCCCTATGCCTCAGTTTCATCATCAGTAAAGAGGGGATAACAAAAGTACCTATTTCATACGACTGTTGCAAAGTAAGGATTAATGAATTAACAGAATGTAGAAGCAAGTGCCTGGCATATTTATGTAACATATAAATGTTAACAAATATTTCTATTTTTATTGTTATTATCTCTTCTACTATTACCCTATATAAGCTTACATTTTGCTTATACAGCAGTAACCACCTAACAGGTTTCGCTCATTCTACTTTTGCTCATGCCTCTACTTTGCTTGGGCTTTCCAGGTGGCACTATGGTAAAGAATCAGCCCACCAATGAAAGAGACATGGGTTTGATCCCTGGGTCAGGAAGATCCCCTGGAAGAGGACATGGCAACCCACTCCAGTATTCATGCCTGGAGAATTCTATGGACAGAGGAGCATGGATGACTACAGTCCTTAGGGTTGCAAAAGAGTC